TAGTTTCCTGAGTAGCTGGGATTACAAGTATGTCACCATGTCCGGCTAATTTTTGTATTTTTAGTAGAGACAGGGTTTCACCATATTGGCCAGCGTGGTCTCACCCCTGACCTAGTGATTCACCCACCTCAGCCTCCCAAAGTGCTGGGATTACAAGTGTGAGCCACTGTACTTGGCCTACTCTTTGTTTTTGTTTGTCGTCTGAAGATGTCTCAATCTGCCCTCCTTTTTAAAAAAATGACTTTATTCAGATACAGTTCACACACCAGAATCCACTGTTTCAAAGTATACAATTCAATGGTTAAGTATATTCATAGACTTATACAACTGTCACCACTGTCTAATTTTAGAACTTTACATCACCAGCCCACACACCAAAAAAAAAAAAAAACCACCCTGTACCCATTAGCAGTCATTCCCCAGTCCCCTCTCCTCCCTGGCAACCACTAACCTACTTTCTGTCTCTGTGGATTTGCCTTTTTATTTTCTTTTGAGACAGTCTCGCTCTGTTGCCCTGGCTGGAGGGCAGTGGCATGATCTGAACTCACTGCAACATCCACCTCCCGGGTTCAAGCGATTCTCCTGTCTCAAACTCCCAAGTAGCTGGGACTACAGGTGAGCATCATCATGCCCAGCTAATTTTTATGTTTTTAGTAGAGACAGGGTTTCACCCTGTTGACCAGGCTGGTCTCAAACTCCTGACCTCCAAGTGATCTGCCTTCCTCTGTCTCTGTGCTGGAATCCTCAAAGTGCTGGGATTACAAGTGGGAGCCACTACACCCGGCCCTGGATTTGCCTATTTCTGACATTTCATATAAATGGAATCATACAGTATATGCCTTTTGTGTCTGGTTTCTTTCACTTAGCATAATATGTTCAAGGTGTACCCATATTATAGCATGTGCCAATACTTCATTTTTTATGGCTGAATCATATTCCACTGTATCACATTTTGTTTATCCTTTAGCCAGTTGACAGAGGTTGTTTCTACTTTTTTGGCTATTACAAATAATGCTGCAATGAACATTTGTGTATAAGCATTTGGGTGTGAACATATATCTTCAGTTCACTTGGGTATATATTTAGGAGTGAAATTGCTGGAACATATGGTAATTCCTTTTTTTTTTTTTTTTTTCTTTTTTCTTTTGAGACAGGGTCTCACCCTGTTGCCCAGGCTGGAATGCAATGGTGCAATCTCAGCTCACTGCAACCTCCACCTCCCAGGTTCAAGCGATTCTCCTGCCTCAGCCTCCTGAGTAGCTGGGATTACAGGCGTGCGCCACCACGCCCAGCTAATTTTTTTTTTTTTGAGACGGAGTTTCGCTCTTGTTACCCAGGCTGGAGTGCAATGGCACAATCTCGGCTCACTGCAACCTCCGTCTCCTGGGTTCAAGCACTTCTCCTGCCTTAGCCTCCTGAGTAGCTGGGATTACAGGCGTGTGCCACCATGCCTAGCTAATTCTTTGTATTTTTAGTTGCAACGGGGTTTCACCATGTTGGCCAGGCTGGTCTCGAACTCCTAACCTCATGATCTGCCCACCTCGGCTTCCCAAATTACTGAGATTACAGTGTGAGCTGCCCCGCCGAGGTGATCATACAGTAATTCTATGTTTCACCTTTTGAGGAACTACTCTAGAGCAGCTGCACCATTTTATATTCTAACAGCAACGTATAAGCGTTCTATTTTCTCTACATTTTCATCAACATTTGATATTTTCTGGGTTTTTTAGTTTGTTTGTTTGTTTTTGCTTGTGTGACAGTCATCCTAGTGAGTGTGAGGTGGTATCTCACTGTATTCTATTTTTTATGTTCATTTTAACATAAACTATACTATATACTCTTTCAACAATATATTGTGGAGATCTTGTTGATATGTACAAAACATAATCTCTTTTTTTGGCTTTATAATTCACTGTCTGAATGTACCATCTTTTATTTAACCAGTTCTCTACTGATGGGCTCTTTTTTCCAGTCTTTTATTATCACAAATAGTGCTGCAACAAATACCTTTATATACTCCATTTTTTACATGTGGAAGTCTGTCTGTAAGGATTAACTCCTAAAAGTGGAATTCTGGGCTAAAGGGCATAAGTATACTTTTATTTTTATACATATTGCCAAATGGTACTCAGTGGTCTTTTTTAACACCTCAATGGTGTTAAAAAGCAGGGGTCGGGGAGGCAGATATAGACAAATTGATTTCATAAAAAATGTGCCAGTTTATAGTCACCAGAAATGTAAGTACACATTCTCTAAATGAATACTAGATGATAAGATCAAATATGTGAAAATACTGTGTTCTTAGTATGGTACTCTTGTGTGGGTTGACTTCAGAATCACTTCTTTTTAGGGGCTTTGGGGGAAGGGCAGCTTATAAAAAGCTTTCCTTGGTTGCCATTCCAAGGAGGCGGTAGAACTGAAAAGGGCTTGACCTGGAGCCCTTATCTACCTTCCGTTCGTGAACAATGGGTACTCACTGAAGATGCTGGGTAAAATATTCATTTATTCCTTCAATCAACAAACATTTATCAAAAGTCTACTATTTGGTACTAGCTGCTGGGGAAGGAATGACACAAAATCAGACCAAACACTCCTTTCACTGACATTTTCAGGCTTTTGAAGGGACTCAGACATTAACACAACTAAGGGTAAAATAACACATTGAGAGAGAGAGATGTCTATCATGCCGCTGGAGCCTGGAACAGCATCCGAGGTCAGCAAGGGTGACCAGAGGAAATATGTTTGAATTGAGATATGAAAGATGAGTAAAAGACTAGGTAAAGGAAGTCTCTTCCTCCTCTGAAGGAAAAAGCAACTTCTTTATAGTTAACATAAAAAGAAGGCTGGGTACGGTGGCTCATACCTGTAATCCCAGCATTTCGGGAGGCTGAGGTGGGAGGACTGCTAGAGGTCAGGAGTTTGAGACCAGCCAGGGAAGCACAGAGAGACCTCATCTCTACAAAAAAAAAAAAAGAAAGAAAGAAAAGAAAAGAAAGAAAGAAAGAAAAAATTAGCTGGGTGTGGTGGTGTGTGCCTGTAGTCCCAGCTTGGCAGGATAGCTTGAGACCAGAAAGTCAAGGCTGCAGTGAGCACTGATCGTGCCACTGTACTGCAGCCTGGAAAACAGGGTGAGACCCTTTCTCAGCAACGACAAATAAAGAAGAGAGGCAATAATACCTACCTCACAGCATCATTAGAAAAATTAAATAATACATGTAATGCATTTAGCAAAATGCTCAGCACATGTCAATTACTGGGAGAATTATTATTTTGTTCCCATTCTTTCTTTTTTTAAAATAACCATATATTAGCGAATGTTAAAATCCCAGTTCCCCAAGCAAAACATTACCACCCTAGTTATGTACTTACTTCTAAGCACTACCCCACACTGCCTTGGGTTGCTAGTTATCTTCTTCAGGTCATTTACTCAACCAGGTGACAAGCTTATTTGGAACAAGAATCTGGCTTTATACTTTTTAGCAAAATAATAGCTCCTATTTACTGCGCATATATGACATACTCTTTATGTACATTAATTCCAACCCTCACAACAACCCAGTTTTACAGATTCTCTTCCTCATTTTACAGATAAAGAAACTAGAGTTCAAAGGGGTCAGTCAGCCTGGCCAAGGGTGAAGGCAGGCCTAAACCCTGATGCAAGCAGCTACATTTGTAGTGACAGATGCGAAAGCACAGAGCTGCACTCACCCAAACGCTTCTTATCTCCTGCTGCCGTTACCTTTAGACAGTGGCAGTGAGTATGGGGAGAATTATTGGAGAGGCGCCCATCCCTTCTTCCAGCTGTGTGATGCATAAATTTAGAACTCAGTAGAACCCAAAGGGTCATTGAGGAATACCTGCATTCATTCACCAAGCCTAGGCTGCTAATGAGCAAAACCCCTCACTGGGAGTTGTGTACTTGATACAGATAATGTTAACACTCATGGAATGTTTTCTATGTGTCAAGCACTGTTCTAACTGCTTTATATGGATTAATTCATTTAATATCCAGGTTAAGACTGTTATGATCCCACATAACAGCTGAGGAAACCAAACTACAAGAAGGTTAAAGGTTTCGTCCAAGGCCCTCACCTGGCAAAGCAGGGGCATTTGGATATGGTAGTGATTTCACAGCTTGAGACTTATCTTAGTAACAGTGTGAGAGAAGGGTCACAGAGTCTAGAACAAAACCAGACGCAACTCTGGTATAACGAAGGACCAAAAGTTCTGCGGGCTGAGCAGGAAAGTTGGTTCCAAATGTCTGCCTGCCTGCCAGCACGCCTCCAGCCCCAGCCTTCTGCTTTCCCGGCTTCCCCACCCCCTCATTCCCGACAGACCACAGCCAGCCACCCGGGAAAGGAGGGGAAAGGTCCCAGTGGGGATTTGGCTCCTCCCTTCCCGTCCAACAGCCCCTATTCAGCAGAGCCCGCCGAGCTCGCGCAGATGTAGAAAGTCTTTCCCATCCGGCCCATGCACAAAGCCACCAGCAGCCTTCCCTTCCACGGGGTGGGCTTTCCTTCCCAGGGGTCCTCCCCATTCCCAGTGTCTCTCCGGGACTCTACTTTCTGAGATTCCCCGTTGCGTGCTCTCAAGACAGACCGCACAGTCTTGGCTGGGCGGTGGGAGTGGCGTGAGTGGAGGCGGTGCCTGGTAGGGCAGCCCAACCCCCAAATCTGGGCATAAGGCTGTACGGACTGTGACCTCCCGGCTCTTTAGTTCAAGCCAAATACGCCCTTAAAAATCATCTAGCGGCCAGGCGCAGTGGCTCACGCCTGTAGCGCCAACACTTAGGGAGGCCGAGGCAGGAGGATCGCTTGAGACCAGCCTGGGCAACATAGCGAGACTGCGATGAGAGAAGAGAAAGAAGAGGAAGAGGGGGAGGGGGAGGGGGAGGGGGAGGGGAGAAGAAAATCATCTACTGGCCAATACCTTCATCACACATGAGAAAACAGGCCCATTTAAATACAAGTGACTTGCCCATATGTAGTTAGGATCCATACCAGGGCCAGGTGTATTTCACATCTTCTTAAAAGACACGGCTAACTCTCACAGAAAGCAGAGCTTTACGTGGTGACCAAGGGCCTCACCATTCCAGAGATACCGATGGCAACTGAAACTCGGGGTCTGGAATCTTGGTACCTCTAAGAAGTGAAACAAAACCTGCTCTTCAGTCCTTGAAATGAAGAAAATAACGAGTGAGATGGGGGTCTGGTGCCCTCTGACAATTTAGTGCTTGCCGAAATCTCTGGGGAAGAAGCCACCCTCCGCGGCAAGGCTTCGCGGACACGAAGGCCGCCGGTGTTTTTCACCGACTAGGTTGGAGGGAGACGTACTCTCTGACTCCTTCAAACGTTTTCTATAGCAGGAGATGGCACACGCCTCGTCTCACTCCAGACCGCAATGACTCAAAACCGCACGACTCGTACTTCTGGAAACAGCTCCGCGGAGAGCACCACGTACAGTCCCCAAACGAGGCGGGGCCGCGGACGTGCGTCCCGGCGTGTACGTCCCCGTGCGTGCGTGCGGGCTCAAGTGCGCGTGCGCGTGCCCTCCCGGGGTGGGCCCGCGACTATAAGGGGTGGAGGCTGGGCTTCCGTGCTCGGCGTTCTGCGGTAGACCGCGCGTTTGGCTTCGGTACGTTTTGTGGCGGGAAGCTTCTGCGCTGCTGCTTGATACCTACTTTCTTCCCGACTCCTACACGACCTGCTGCTACAGCCGGCCCTTCTCCCGGAGGTGAGCGACCCTATGGGCTTCCCCGACTCCCCACTCCCATCGCCCGAGTGCGGGCCGAGCCAGCAGCCTAGCAGGGCTGGGGCTGCGCCGCTGGGAGCCTCTCTTCTCGCCCCCACCCCACCCGGGTTCCCCAGTCAGCCGCCCAGCCCTGTTTTGTCTTGAAATGGCCCTAACTAGGTTCCACGTGGGCCATCCCTTGCCCACCAGTGCTGGGTTAGGCGTCCCTGCCATGCCCTCCCAAAGCACCTTCACCATCTCCTTCCTGTCCCAGCACTTAGCATGTTGGGTGGTAACCACCCTTTGTCTACAAGGTTTGCCGTGTGGCGCTAGTATCTTCCAGGGTACCTAACACATTGCAGATATTCATGGTATGTTGGTTAAATAAATGAACTTGATAGATTTGACCCTCAGAGTTATTTGCATTTGCAAAAAGTTTGTAGTTAACTCCAATCTGCGATGTGGGAGAGACTTCCAGGCAGGTGGTTTTCTCTAGCGCATGTTCTTATGTTTCCCATTATACCCGCCACCCCTCTGCAAAAGACCTGGGCTTGTTTCAGGAAGGTGGTGATATCTGCACTGTAGCACAGGGGTTGTGCATTGTGCAACCCCTTTGCACAATTTGCAGGAACAAAGTTTTCAAGAAAGTAAAAATTTTAAGAAGTGTTCTTGAATTAGTCCAAGAAGCAAGACTGGCTCCGCAGCCATGAAGTTTGAAATGTAAATATACGGAGAGTCGCTGTGTAGGAACATCCCCTGGTCCCTGTCTCCCTCACTGGCTAAGCCTCTCCTTCAGCTCTGTGGGAGGACAGAAGAGTCAGGGCTGGATGCATGCATATCCCAAAAGGGTGTAGATTGATTCTTTCCTCTCTTTCCTCAGGATCCAGAGGCCTTCCAGAGGCAGAAGGCAGCTCTGCTGCTCTGCGGAGGAGTAGGGTCCTTTCAGCCATGAAGCATGTGTTGAACCTCTACCTCTTAGGTGTGGTACTGACCCTACTTTCCATCTTCGTTAGAGTGATGGAGTTCCTAGGGGGCCTACGAGAGATCCCATCGCCTGGGACCTCCTGGACCACCAGAAGCCAGCTAGCCAACACAGAGCCCCCCAAGGGCCTTCCAGACCATCCATCCAGAGGCATGTGATAAGACTTCTTTCTGTGCTGGCCATATTTTGGAACGCTGACCTACACGTGTCCAGATGGGAGTCCCATTCCTAGCAGGCAAGCTGAGCACCAGTGTAACCAGAGAACTATTACTAGGCCTGGAAGAACCTGGCTAACTGGATGCTCATTACCTGGACAAAGCCTGTTTAGGCCGGCTGCCGTGCTTTACGAATGTAATCCTAGCACTTTGGGAGGCTGAGGCAGGTGGATCACCTAAGGTCAGCAGTTTGAGACCAGCCTGTCCAACCTGGTGAAACCTGGTCTCTACTAAAAATATAAAAGTTAGCCAGGCGTGCCGGGCGTGGTGGCTCAAGCCTGTAATCCCAGCACTTTGGGAGGCCGAGGCGGGTGGATCACGAGGTCAAGAGATCGAGACCATCCTGGTCAACATGGTGAAACCCCGTCTCTACTATAAATACAAAAAATTAGCTGGGCATGGTGGCGCGTGCCTGTAATCCCAGCTACTCGGGAGGCTGAGGCAGGAGAATTGCCTGAACCCAGGAGGCAGAGGTTGCGGTGAGCCGAGATCGCGCCATTGCACTCCAGCCTGGGTAACAAGAGCAAAACTCTGTCAAAAAAAAAAAAAAAAAAAAAAAAAAAAAAAAAAAGTTAGCCAGGCGTGATGGCAAGTGCCTGTAATCTCAGCTACTCAGAAGCTGAGGCAGCTGAATTGCTTAAACCCAGGGGGCAGAAGTTGCAGTGAGCCAAGATCACACCCCTTCACTCCAGCCTGGATGAAAGAGCAAGATTCCACAAAAAAAAAAAAAAAAAAAAAAAGAAAGAAAGAAAAAAAAGAGCCTGTTAAATGCACAGGTATGAATGGATTGCTCGGGGCTGTGAGACAGGTTGAATTCGCCCTTTCCCCAGGGCCTGCTGTATGCTGTGCTTTCCTCAGCAGTATGGCTGACATCGCTTAGATGTCCCAGCTTCAGCTGTTGGGAGAGGATGTTTTTAACCCTGCTTCCTAAACATCTGCCAGGGGTTCCTTTAGACATGAGTGTCTTATGCTCAATTATTTGGTGTTCAGCCTCTCTTCCACGAGAGCTCCTCCATGTTTGGATAGCAGTTGAAGAGGTGTGTGGGTGGGCTGTTGGGAGGGAGAGGATGGAGTGTTCAGTTCCCATTTTTAATTGTTTTACATTTTAAAGTCCTTCCGCCAACATAATGTGTATTGGCCTGAATGGGGTCGTGGGATGCCAGAGCCTGCTCAGGTTACGGACATTGTGGCCACTATGTGGCTTAAATGATTTTTTCTAATTAATAAAGTGGAATATGTGTTTCTACTGTGTGCCATGTTGGCTTCTGCCCTTGAAATTCTTGGTAGGGAAGGGTCTTAATTTCTAGACCTGAGGTTTAACATCTTAAAACTTTGGAGCAGGAAAGTGCTTAAACCACTTTGTTAAAAACATAATAAACCTCTGCATTTGGGGGCAGAGACAGTTGGGTCTGCCCTGTATCAACCAGTTGTGTGAGCCTAGGCCACGACTACTGTAGTCCTCTCATGACTGGATCTGTAAAGAAGAAAAATGAAGGCCGGGCGCGGTGGCTCAAGCCTAATCCCAGCACTTTGGGAGGCTGAGGCGGGTGGATCACTAGGTCAAGAGATCGAGACCATCCTGGTCAACATGGTGAAACCCCGTCTCTACTAAAAATACAAAAAATTAGCTGGATGTGGTGGCGCGTGCCTGTAATCCCAGCTACTCAGGAGGCTGAGGCAGGAGAATTGCCTGAACCCAGGAGGCGGAGGTTGCGGTGAGCCGAGATCGCGCCATTGCACTCCAGCCTGGGTAACGAGTGAAACTCCATCTCAAAAAAAATAAATAAATAAATAAATGTAAAAAATAGGAGAAAAATGAGCATCACCACTTCCAGCCCCTCACCTTGAGTCTCTGGGACAAAGAGGACTGTCAGTCCAGGAGGCCGTGGCTTTTTTCTTCTGTGCTCTTCACGTGTTTTATTTACCCACCAAAAAGACTGCTTAATTCCAGTTGTTCTCAAAGTCAGTTGGTAAAGCGTCCACACTACAGATGATTATTTCTGCTCTCCCAGATCTAAGCAACTTGGCCTTTCCTCAAAAGTTGGAGGTATTTCTTTTTCCTTGTATCCACCACTCTTTCGCTCCCTGTCCCATGTACAATTGTATCCACTCCTCTGCCTGTGACAGTATTTTACACTTCCATCACAGTGTGTGCATCATTTGGTTAATTTGATTTACTTTTGCCAAAGGTAAACAGCGGAGTACAGTGTCTTCTGTGAAACCAGTTTTGCTTCTTGAGTGAGTATTCCTACAGTGTCACGATAGAAGCCTGTGGGTTAAGCATCACTTTCATTTATTGCACTTTGGTTGACGTTAGTGTTATTTATCAAGTATTTCCAGTTTCCCACCTTCTGGATACATGTGGCTGACTGGGTTTATATGACTCTTACTTTATTAGCATAGTACTACTCTCAAAAATGGAGGTGGCCTTTTCTGTCTGATTTCAGACAGTTTCATGTGCCAGTGGTTGCCCTTTCCTAGTCATATTTCTTGTATTTGATATATTTTCTCATTCTCATGCCTCTGTAATTTGGGTATTTTTGAACTTTCAATTGGAGAGCTGCACTTTAAGCCTCTCCTCCAAGTGGTTTAGTTGAACCCTTGTGGTTGGATGGGGCCGTGTCTTTAGTTCTAGCCAGTGAGCTGTGAGTGGTAGTGACTTGCGTTAATTCTACATGAGGGCATTTCAGTGCTAGAGAAACCTGCGAGGCCCTCTTTTTCCCTCTGCGCAGTGACCAGGAATGCTTCATATGGAACTGTTCCATTAGTGTAGGTCCTGGAATGATGATGCCATGGAACAGAGCCCTTAATCTGTCTAGTCTGACTGGGATGTGGGAGAGATTTCCAGACCGGTTGCTTTCTTTAGGGCATGTTCTTGTATTTCCCTTTACCCACCACCCCTCTGCAAAAGGACTGAGCCTGTTTCAGGAAGATGACTGACATTTGCACTGCAGCACAGGAGTTGTGCTCCTGATATCTGGGGGTTTTGTTAACTGAAGTGTAACAGCCTATCCTGACTGATACATAGTGTACAGCACCTATTGGATGCCAGGTGTCAGCTAAGACCTCATCACTACCTGCCTCAAAATGTACAGGAGGTAGTAGGCGGAAAGCATGTGAACAAATAATGTGTCATGATCTTATGATAGATGTGTATACAGGATAGTGGGTATATAAAGATATTTGTAGGCAGGAGAGGGATGTTCAGGAAAAGCTTCTTAAGAGGATTTCAATTTTTTAAAAATGAGTAGGTTGTAGGCCTCCTGGTCAACTTAGGAAAAGGTGTCTGAGTGGAGAGAACACTGTGAGCAGAGGCACAGAGATGAGCCTGTGCACAGCTCATTTAGAAAACCGCAAGTACAGTCCGGGCACGGTGGCTTACACCTGTAATCCTAGCACTGGGAGACTGAGGCAGGTGGATCACCTGAGGTCAGGAGTTCATGACCAGCTGGGCAAACATACTGAAACCACAACTCTACTAAAAATACAAAAACTTTGCCAGGTGTGATCACAGGCACCTGTAATCTCAGCTACTCAGTAGGCTGAGGCAGGAGAATCTCTTGAACTCAGTGGGTGGAGGTTGCAGCGAGCTGAGATCACGCCATTGCTGTCCAGCCTGGGCAACAAGAGTAAAACTCCATCTCAAAAAAGAAAAAGAAAACTGCAAGTACAGGCCAGGCACAGTGGCTTGTACCTGTAACCCCAGTGCTTTGAGAGGCTGAGGCAGGAGGATCGCTTGAGCGCAGGAGTAGAGAACAGAGCAAGACCCTGCCTCTATTATAAAAAAAAAAATTTTTTTTTCCATCCAGGATCTCACTTCGTTGCCCGGGTTGGAGTGCAGTGGTTCAGTCTTGGCTCACTGCAACCTCCACCTCCCAGGCACAAGCAATCTTCCTGCCTCAGTCTCCCGAGTAGTAGGGACCACAGGTGTGCACCACTACCCCCAGCTAATTTTTGTGTTTTTTGTAGAGACGGAGTTTCACCGTCTTGCCCAGGCTGTTCTCGAACACCTGGACTCAAGTGATCTACCCACCTCAGCCTCCCAAAGTGCTGGAATTATAGGTGTGAGCCACTGCACCTGCCCCCTCCTCCATTTTTAAAAAAATGTTAGCTGGGCATAGTGATGCATGCTTGTAGTCCTAGCTACCAAGGAGGCTGAAGTGGGAGGATCACTCGAGCCCAGGAATTTGAGGCTGCAGTAAGCCATGATCATGCCACTGTGCTCCAGCTTGGGTGACAGAACTAGACGCTGTCTCTTAAAAATAAAAAATTAAGGCCAGGCACTGTGACTAACACCTGTAATCCCAGCACTTTGGGAGGCAGAGGCAGGTAGACCATTTGAGATCAGGAATTTGAGACCAGCCTGACCAGTATGGCAAAACCCCCATCTCTACTAAAAATACAAAACTTAGCTGGGCATGGTGGTGTGCACCTGCAGTTCCAGCTACTGGGGAAACTGAGACAGGAGAATTGCTTGAACTTCCAGACTGGGTGACAGAGCGAGACTCCATCTATAAATAAATAAATAAATAAATTTTAAAAGAGCAAGTACAAATTTTAAATCTTACTAGCTTGTGGCCTGAACTCTAGTGCCACCTAGTGGACTCTAAAGAAGAGACTATTTTATGTGCTATATGCTGTGTAACGCTTTCTGAATTTGAATGACTGCCTCTAAAGCTTAAGATACGAGAATATTGGCTGGGCTCGGTGGCTCAAGCCTGTAATCCCAGCACTTTGGGAGGCTGAGGCGGGTGGATCACGAGGTCAAGAGATCGAGACCATCCTGGTCAACATGGTGAAACCCCGTCTCTACTAAAAATACAAAAAAACTAGCTGGGCATGGTGGCGTGTGCCTGTAATCCCAGCTATTCAGGAGGCTGAGGCAGGAGAATTGCCTGAACCCAGGAGGCGGAGGTTGCGGTGAGCCGAGATCGCACCATTGCACTCCAGCCTGGGTAAGAGAGCAAAAACTCTCAAAAAAAAAAGAAAAAAAAAGATACGAGAATATTAAGGGCTGGAAGATACAATCTAGCCACGTACTGTCCACTAAAAATATAATGCAAGACACATATAATTTAAAATTTTCTAGTGTCCGAATTAAAAAGTAAAAAGAAACAGAAGGTACTTTTTACGTATTCAACCCAATATATTCAAGATATCATTCCAAAATATAACACAAAGTATTATTATTATTATTGTTTTTATTTATTTATTTATTTATTTTTTTGAGACGGAGTTTCGCTCTTGTTACCCAGGCTGGAGTGCAATAGCGCGATCTCGGCTCACCGCAACCTCCGCTTCCTGGGTTCAG